TCTTTTTTTTTGTACTAAAAACACATCCACTAAAACACGACAGTGCTGGGTACATTCAGCAGAAAAAAAGGGATGGGGGGGGTTCCCCTTAGGGGATTTTGGGGGTGGCGGCGATTAAAAATTGGGAAGAAAATGAATGGAAAATCCCAAATGGATTRGGGGAAAGTGGGAGGAGGAAACAGAGGGACGGACAGACGGACATTGGGGGGAGGGGGACACCATCTGGGTTCTCTTCGGGGCCCCGGTCCCGTGGGGGGACACGGGGGGATTGTCCGTGTGGGAGCACCCGGGCTCACCCCTTTCCCCCCAGGTTTGGGGTCAATTTGCCCAAAATGGTGTTTTTTTTACAGCCCAAATTGAGGCCAGGAAAAGGGGTGCTGCCCCCACCTTCCCCTCAGCATTGAGGGGGTCCCCAGTGTCTTTATGGGGGGCTGGATTTGAGAGCAGCAAACCTGAGGGGGAGGACAGAGCTGGGGTGGGCAGGGATTCCCCTCAAAACCTCAAACTTGCAATGTGCCCCTCCCTTCTGCCCCCAAAACCCCTGCTGAGATTTGGATGAAAAGAGGAGAAAAATGGCTAAATTACAGCCCTAGAGAGAAAAAAACCCCGCAAGTCCCCCAAATCCTGTCCGCCAGCCCAGCTCCTCTCTGGGGACACGATGGGGGATGGGCAGAAAGAACAAATCTTGAGCCTTCCCCAAATGAGAGTGGGGGTCTGGGGGGGTCCCCAGTGACACTGGGTGGGTTTCTGGGGGGTGGCACGGGGTGGGGGGACAGAACCCTGCAGGGAGGTGCCGTGGGATTGCTGGTGCTCGTGTCTGCTTWAAAAAAAAAGGGGGTGGCCCCTGACAGGCCCCCCATGCACCCACCCCGGTCCCCGCGGCCCCATCCCCCTCCCAGGGAGGGGGGCATTGACCCCCCCAAAATAAGCCCAAACCACACTAATATTTACAGCATGGCCCAGAGGGGTGAGACTCCCCCAGGGGGGTATGAACTGGTGGTAACTGGGGTTAACTGGGGCAAGGGGAGCTCTGGTCCCCTCCACCCCAGGATTTGGGGTGAAGGGAGAGGAGCAGCTTCACCAGAGATGGAGGGGAAAATGAGGGGGGCTGGGGGGTGGGGGAGGAAAAGGGGTAGAGGGGGAAGTGAGGGAGGGAGAAATGAAAAATAAAAAGATGGATCTTTCTCATTTTATAAAAAGGAAAAAAAAAAACCAAAAACAAAACAAAAAAAATTTAAAATAAAATACAACGGCACGACAACCACCGACAACAGAGCCGGGGGAGGGGAGGGGACCCCGCGCCCCCCACCTTGGTCACTCTAAGCCGCCGTCCCCGGGCAGGAGGGGCGGCCCCGGTGTTCCCCCCGCACACACTCGCACGCTCGCACACACACCCCCTCCCCACGCCCTCGCCCACCCCCCAAATCGGGGACACGCCGCGGGTCACCGTCCGTCCGTGGCCGGCGCTCCCAAGTGCCGTGGATGTGGAGTATTCCCGGGCAGCTCCCGGGGCAGCTTCCAGACTGTACAAGGTTTTTTTGTTTTTTGTTTTTTTTTGGGGGGGGGAGGACCCCCAAGATGCTGGGGGAGGTGCGCAGAGGGCTGGGGGGGTTGCAAAGAGATATTGTCCCATCGGCTGAGTCCTGAGCTCCTYGGCTCGTGCTCCGCGCCCGCTGCCGGAGGGGCTGCGCGGGGAGGGGATTTTCTTCCCGTTTCTGGGTTTTTTTTTAATAAAAAAAAAGGTGTGGGGGAAGGTGTTGTTGGGTTGGTTTTTTTTTTCCTGTGTGTTTTTTCTTCTCTTTCTAGAAAGTCCAGAGCTGGTAGCAAGGGGGTAATGGGGGTAGGGATGGAGAGACACCCCCCTGGAAAGAATGAAATTCAAAAAAAAAAATCGCTTCCCCTCGGGAGTAAAGAGGGGGGCGGGGGTGGGGGGCTCTCTCCACGCCCCCCAGACCGGGGGAAGCAGCCCCTGATCCCCCTCCATAGTGTGAGCTTGGCGGAAGGGCCCCCCCGGCCCCTGCTCCCCATGTTGGGGGTCCCACGGGGGCACAGGAGGAAGAGGAGGAAGGATTTTGAGGGGCTGCCAGGGGGATTTGGGACCGAAACCAAGAAACCAAACGACGTTACGAAGAGCTTGGCCGATCAGTTGGAGTCGGAGTCGGAGGAGTCCCCCGAGGAGGAGGAGGAACTGCTGCTGCCCTCCGAGTCGTTGTCRTCCTCGTCCTCATCATCYTCATCCTCATCATCCTCGTCGTTCTGCGAGAGGGGTGGCAGAGAGAAGGAGGGGTCAGGGCAGGGTTAGTCCAYCGTCACCCTCTTGTCCCCTGCTCACCCTCCCAGCGGGGTCCCGGCAGAGCGTGGGGGTGCGACCCCCACCCTCCCATCGCTGCCCCCCCGGGATCTGGGGGTGGAGGAGGAGGAGGGATGCGGGGCAGGAGTCAGGAGTGAGTTTGCAAAGGCTCAGCTCGGGGTGCCGGGGGGGGACGTGCCGGAGCAGCGCGCGGGGGTCCTGCCCTCACCTCTGCCACTGCCTCGCTACACGATCCGAGGGGAGGCTACCCGACCCGCCTCGTGCCTCAGTTTCCCCCCTCTAAAGCCAGGGAAGGAAGAGGCGTGAGCTGAGACCAGCGAGGGGGTGGAAACACCTCACCTGTCCGGTGGCGAGCACAAGGCACGGACACGGTTTCTGGCCCCAGCGCCATCCAGCATACTCTGATTTCAGTTGCACCGGTGTAAAGCTTTGACTCTGGTGACTTACTCGGCATTCACACTGGCGCAAACGGAGCCGAGACCAGACTCAGTATCTCCACCAGGAAAAAGACAGGAGATTTTTCTCTGCTCACTGGGGGCTCTGCACACCCCCCCGCACACCTCTACTTCCCGAGGCTGCTCCTGACTACGCCCCGCGGCTGCTCCTCGCACCCTCCCCGGGAACACCGGGGGGAGGCTCCCGTTCCCCTTCTCCTCCCCGTGTCCCCCTGTTTCCCAGGGGCTCCTCTGCCACCAATCTATCTGAGCCTGGCTGAGGGTGCCCCCCAGCCCGGGGGGAGGGTGAGGGGGGCCCCACGCCCTCCCCGTGCCCTCCCCGTGCCGCAGCCTCACCTCGTCCCCGTCCTCGCTCTCCTCCTCGCTGCTGGACTCCGAGGAGTCGCCGCCTTCCTCCGACGAGTCGCCGTTGTCATCATCGTCGTCCTCGTCTTCGTCGTCATCTTCCTCCTCCTCTTCCTCCTCGTCGTCGTCCTCTGACTCCTGCAGGGAGGGATGGGGGTGGTGAGTCCCTGGACATCCACACCCATGCGTGCAGAACCCACCCTATCCTTGACCAAGAACTTTTAGGTGCCTCCATCCACTGAGCAGGATCAGGTGGTTCCCTACCCCACACCTCGATAGGAGAATTTCCTCGATTGCCCCAAAAAGGTTCCCCTAGCAGGTACCAGCGGTCAAAATCCGACCTGGGTGGGTTCTGAGCAGGAGTTTGGGGTAAGTTTATGGTCTCGAGGATAACACAGGCAGCTAGAAGCAGCAGGGATGCCCCAAACAAGAGGTGTGGGTCCCCCCAGACACAATCCCACACTCACCGACTTGGACTGCATCGTTGGCTTCATCTTGGGGTTGGGACCCCGAATCTTCCCTATGCTCTTGCGTTTCTGTGGGCACAAAAAACCATTTAAGGCTCAAGTCCAGCTTCTTCCCAGTGTCCAGCCCAGAGAAAATCCCACTGCCAAACAGCCACAGGGACAAAACCCCCTTGGAGGGGCTCTCTGGAGTGTRGCACATCCAAACCTCACCCAGRGTTGTTCCCARGCCTGACCATAAAGAAATTTGTCCTATAATCCCATCTAAACTGACCCCAGCCCAGTGCCAAGCCCCAAAACCCATCCCACCCCCAAAATCCTGCCAGAGCAGTGCCACGTGGATACTCACGTTGGAAATGTGTTCCTTGTAGGCAGCCCGCTCCTGGGGCGAGAGGCTCTGTGGGGACACGGAGAAGGTCAGGGAGGGGCACGCACTGAGTGGAACGGAGGATGAAGCAGGGAAGGGCTCTAGCCCAGGGCACACCCTCCTCATATATGTAACTTTTATCTCTTTAAGTAACAAAATGTCAAAAAAAGGTCTGGAGATAGCAGTGCCCGCAGGAGGGGAGGAAGTAAAGATCACGCCGAGCATTATCCCCAAAACCAACAAATCCYACAGCCTCCCACCAGGAATCAGGGTCCAGCACCCACCTTGAGCCAGATGTCGAGGTGCACCTTGTACTGTTTCTGCTGCTCCTCTGCCAGTTTTTTGTAGTGGTCCTTCTGGCCCTGGGAGATGCGTTGCCAGCGGCTGCCGATCTCCACCATCCGCTCCTTCAGAGGGAGGTGGTTCAGCTCCCCGTTGGACAGGAGCTCCTGGGAGAACTTCTGATAACCGTTCCTGCACAGGGGAGAGCACAGGGGCTGGGACAGCGAGCATGGATAGCCCAGGTGTCCAGAAACCCCATCCACCCCACCAGGATCCAGCCAACCCTCCCCAACAGCACAGCCAGACCCAGTTTATCAGACCCTGCATACTCACATGGGGGGTTTCTTCGGCTCTCCCTGGAATTTCATTTTCTTGGTGGAGTTGGTGGAGCACGGAGGAGCTCGCATCTCACTCAGCTCCCTCTGAGCCACAGGAGAGACAGAGGGTCAGGGAGAGGGGCAGTGCCAGCCAAGGGACACAGTGAGGGACAGGAGGGGACAGGGACCCACCTCATATCGCTTCTGATCCTCTGCTGCCTTCTTGATCCACATCAGCTTCTCTTTTTTCTCCATGTTGTTCCAAGTGGCCTCCATGGCTTTCAGCGCTTTGCTCCGGTCGTTCTGTGGGACAGAACCACCACGATGCATCAGATGCACCCAAAAAACTTGGGATATTGGGGTGCTGCTCCCACCRTGACCCCTATCCTCCCCACAGCTCCCAGCTCAAACCAGGTGTGAGAGCCAGGGAGAAAGCACACGGGAATTCCTGCTGATGGGAGAGAAGATCCCACTTCCAGCCCCTTTCCCAGCCCACTCCTCACCTTGAAACGTGCCAGGTAGTCCCCAATGACGCTCTGTTGCCAGATTTCCTCAGCGGTTTTGGGAGACTCAGGCAGTTTCCCGCGCTCCTCTTTATCCGAGCTGTGCTTCTTCTCCGACTGYGCCTTCATCGCCGCCTCCCGTGCCTTGTACTTGGCCTGGGCAGGGGGCACAGGTGTAAGGGGGGGACACTGCAGGGGCACAGCCCCCAAACACCAGGAGGACACAGGAGATCCCCCAACCACTGTCCCCACAGCAGCACCAACAGCCTCTCGCCAACCCCAACCCCATCTCTGGACTCCCCAGCAGGAAAACAACCAAAGCCTTAAAACTGTGCTTAAAATTGTCCTTAAAACTGATGCTCAAGGACCCTCTGAGGTTTCTTTAGATGGTGTGCTTTGGCCCCCCAGGTTATAGGGAGGGGGGACACAGCCAGGGGTCCCCCTCAGAGATGACACTGGTGCCTGTGTGACAGCTCACTGTGATGCTCCAGGGGACATTTGTGCCTGTCAGAGCAGGACAAGGACAGCCTGAGACGCTCACGGGAGCAGATGGGGATGSAGGAGGAGCACAGAGGTGGCACCAACCTTCTTCTTCTCTGAGAGGTCATTCCACATGCGGGCCAGGAGCCGGGTCAGCTCGCTCTCTGACAGCTCCGGCCGCTCCTCCTGCAGCTGCTTCCGCTTCTCCTCCGAGAAGATGAACATGGCAGAGATGGGCCTCTTGGGCTTCTCTGAGCTGGCCTGAGGGGGGACACAGGGCTGTGAGAGGGGGCGAGCCCATGGAGGGACTGAAGCCCCCAAAGCCCCTCGAGATGCACAATCCCATGCCAAGCCTGGCACATGCTGTCCCATCCCTACCAGTGCTGCTCCCACCTTGCCGGTCTCTGGTGAGGATTTTTTGGATGCGGGACTCGTTGCCCCTTTCCGGTTGCTGCCCAGCATCTTCTCCTCGCCCAGCACCCGTTGCTGCTCTTCCTCGGGCAGGCTCTGGGTGRCAGAGGATGAGGGACATCGTTAGACAGGGGAATTAATGCATTTGGGTGTCCTGATCCAAATCCTATCCCAGTCAGGGTTTCACCAGCATCTGGCACTGCCTGGGGGTCACCCCGTATCTGGGCACTGTTCCTCTCCCCCAAATCTGTCCCCTGCCTGGCTCAGGCATTTCTCAGTGTCTGGATCCAGGCACACCCTGGGTTTTCCACCCTGTGCCCCTGCAGTTGCAGCTGGGGCCGTGTCACATCCGCCTGGGGACRGGGACAGGGACGATGCTGGGGTGGCCTCGGTGGCTCCCCCGCCCACGCCTCAGTGAGGGAAGGAAGTGAGAGGCTGCAGTGCCACAGCCACTGAGCATCCTCCCCTTCAGCTCCAGCCCTCTGCTCACTCTGCTTTCTCCTCCTGAACTGGGGGCCCACCCTCCCTTCCCAGTGCCCAACTGGAAGACACTGGCTCAGGCATTAGGACTGGAAGGTCAAGGTTATGTGCAACCATCAGCACAGCACCCACAGCTGGGTCTAGACACGTTCTTGGGGAGCAGAGAGGATGGCCTCCCATTTAAACCATCCCAGCCCCTGGGTAGAGTTCCCCACACCCAGATTCGGGATCTCCAGCACTCCCTCATCACTCACCTCCAGGAAGCGGAGCAGTTCGATCTCGTAGTCTTTTTTTTTCTGGGAGGAGATGGAAATGAGTGGTTACACAGAGATCCCCCACTCCATCCCTGCCTCCTGCAGCCCCTAACCCGGCCCCAATCCCTTGGCAACAGCATCCTCCACCTGGGCCATCTGCTTGTCCCACACAGGATCAAGGGAGGTGACTGAGGACCTCAGGGTGAATTGGTGATGGAGACAGGGACTGAGGAAGGGTGAGGAGCTCATTTCCAGGGATATTTGCAGCCCAGACTCTCCCATCTCCCTGCTCCTTTCCCACAGCACTGGTGCCCACCTGCCTCTCCCCTCCACGTGTCCATCCTCACCCACTGACCTGGTCACACTTTTTGTGGTAGGCGTCTTTTTCTTTCTGCGAGAGCAGCTTCCACTGCTGGCTGCACAGCACCATCCGCTCCGTGCTGGGCACATCTTTCATGTTGGCCATCAGCTCTGCACAGTACAGGGAGTAGCTATTCCTGAAAAACCCAYGGAGGRACACAGRGTTAGGGAAAACCTGACCCTGTGGRGRTGGCTGGGTGATAAGAGCACCCCCAAGATCCCCCAGATGGGTTGCACCAGAAGGAAAGTGAGGTGSCTGTGTTTTCACCCCCAGCCCAGAATGTCACCATAAACCTCACTCAGATTCTCCCTGAAATGTGTATTTAATGTGTATTTAAKGACTGGATTAATGGGATCATCACAGAATCAYGTAATCATTAAGGCTGGAAAAGCYCTCTAAGATCACCSAGTCCAACCAYTWACTAACACTGCCAAGATCACCACCAATCMATGTCCTCAAGTGCCACWTCCACATTTTTAGGACAATTCCAGGGATGGYGACTCTACCACTGCCCTGGGCAGCCTGTTCCAGGCCTGACCATAAAGAAATTTGTCCTATAAATCCCACCTAATGTCTGTGATCCCAAAAGTTATCTGGGCTTCCCAAGCCAGAAAGARCCCGAGTTTCCTTTCCAGATGTTGGCAAGAACCAGCATCTGYCCAGGTCATGGCTCTGAGAGGGACAAGACTCACGGGGGTGGCTTTGTGGGTCGTCCGTCGAACTTGTCCTTGAGCTGCCGCTCGGCCTTGGTGAGGGTGGAGCGGGTGATTCCCTCCTCGCTGATGTTCAGCTCCGGGTGTTTCTGGATGTAATCCCTCATGATCTCCTGCAGGGAGCACAGAACGGTCAGAGGGGCTGCCACACCCGCCTGCCGGGGCCGGAGGAGGAGGAGAGAGAAGCCAACCATTGCCCTAAACCTCTCTCCCCAGGGATCCTGCTGCCTGCCCTGCACATGGCTGGAGAGGCAGGGCTCAGACTCACTAGGGACCTGCCAGGACCTGCCTGAATCCCCACCTGGCTATGGGAAAGGCCACGTAGGGCCAGGATTTAGAGCAGCTCGGAGTTGGGATGAGTGTGGAGGGGACGGGATGAGGCTGCTCCCTACCTCGTACTCCTTCCGCTGTTCCAGGGCCTTATGAATCCATTTCAGCCTCTTTTTATCCGACAGTTGAGACCACTGCTTGCCCAGCGACTCTTTCACCTCCTTCGTGGTGGCCTGAAAACCCAAAGCCAGAGGTGAGGGCAGAGGGGTAAAACCCAAAAAAATAAGAGGAATTMAAAAATATCAAAAAAATGGCAAAAAAATGGCGTGGCCTGGTGGGGCCTGACGGCACCCAGCATGAGGTGGCTGCAAGCCGTGGARGTGTGTGGGAGTGAGGGGTATGGCCAGAGGTGGATGGCTGTGCTGGAATTCTTTCCTRCCCTGACTAAAGTTGTGGTCATCCCTTCCTGCCAAAAAGAGGGGGCTGGAACCCCGAGCCTCTTCCAGGTGTGTAGAGCCTCTCCTTACCTCGGTCCAGGCTCCGGGAGCTCCTAGCGGTGTCCTCCATCCCGACCCCCTAAAGTGCTTCTCTCCCTTCCCCCTCCTGACCACCAGCAGCGGGGTCTGGGACCCCCCAACACTCACACTCGCACTCACTCCCACCCACCGTACTCACATCTGGACGCACTTTCAAGTAGATCTTCTTCTCGTGGTTRTACCACAGCTGCTGGGGGGTCTTGGGTTTTTCGGGGACGTCGGATTTCTTGGCGTTCTGGATGAGATCCGGGTGGTCTTCCCTTTACCAGGCAGGGAGGTGGGGAAGGGAGAGCATCAGGGAGGTGGCAGTGGGAAGGAGAGCACCCCTAAATCTGCCTGACACTGCAGGGCTGAGCCTCCACGGGCTCAGGTACTGGGGGAGTCCCCAAAAACAACAGGAGGGTTTCAGGAGAGATTTAAGTTTGTCCCTCCTTGGGGAGTGTGAGCTATGGTATCCCTGGCTTGGCTGCACTCCTGAAGCAGCAGCAGATCATTGGGAACRCCAGGATCCACTGGATCACAACAATCATGTCCAAGGAGAAGGTCTGGAGTGACTGAGGGGTCACTTCAGATTTTATCAGTGCTGGTGGCAGGGCTCCTGTCCCCACCTCGCAGACTTGACCCCCAAAGCATGGTGGTCCTCCACTCTCCCCCTCATCCAATCCCCCAGTCAGAGAGATGCTCTCAGATATCTTTTGCACGCTTTTTTTTCTGACTTCCCTCTTCCCTTGAAGCCAAAAGCCCATGAGGGCTTCCTCTGTGCAGGAGGAGAATCAGGACCTGTCTGAAGGGGCCCAGGAAATATGGGGTGGGAGGGCTGCCTGCTCACCTGAACCTTGCCAAATTCCTCTCAAACTCCTGCTTCTCTCGCTGGAAGTCCTGGATRTATTTCATCTGGGGACACAAAGCCACCACGGAGGTAGAGAGGGACRTCAGCACCAGGGAACAAGCAGCAAGATACATCCCTGTCAACCTGGCTGGGCACCCACCACCCCAAAAGGGACTCAAGGGCTCCCCAGCCCATGGAATTGTGCTGTGGAGGGTTTCCAGCCTGCCCAGGGATTCAGCAGCTGGGTATCTCCCCTCTCCCTGTATCCCACCAGCCCCAGGAAAGTGGATTCTTCCTGTTCACCCCAGAGTGAGAGCTGAGGTTCCCCAAAGCCCTGCCCAGGCACCTCTGGGTGGGCAGATCTCCACTTCCAGCATCTCCCAGAGGCTGTCCCTGTGTCCCTTGCCCGGACAGGGCGGCACAGYGGGGCGTGGGCCTTAACCCCAGCGTTAAACACGGATCCACCCAAGGGCAAAGCCACCATCCAGAAGGACCAACGGACAGACCCGACCAGCCTCCACCCCACAGATCCTGGGAACCAGGACAGCAAAAGCTGGGGAAGTCTTACAGGTCTGACAGGACTAAACGAACACCTGGCTTCTCCCATCGAGAGCCAGATTAAGGCCTCGCCAGGCAGAGCTTGGGCTCTGCTGGTTTTACTGGGAGAGCTGGGCAGAGCCCAGCACACAGAGACACGTGATGGGAAGGGGCTTGCTGACCCACCCCATACCTTYTTCTTCTCTGGAAGCTCCTTGTATTTCTTGGACAGGATCTTGGTCAGATCCAGGTTGCTCATTTCGGGGTGAAGCTTGGCGTATTTGGCTCGCTTCTCCATGAAGAAGCGGAAATAGGGAGTCAGGGGCTTCTTGGGAAAGTCGGGGTGTTTCTGGGGAGACAGCAGAGTGGAAGACACTGAGCATGGAGCTGGCAGCACCACAGGGACACAGCCAAACCCACAGCTCCCCAGTCCTAGGGGCACCTGCCTCCATCCAGCCCTGCTGTGATGTGGGTGAGGCAGGCAAAGAGGGGGAAATTGCTGGGAACAAAGGCTCCCTGAGGATTTACAGTTRTCCCATGGCTGGGAGTTTGTAAACAGCCTCCAGCCATCCAGAGCTGTCAGACAGAGCACGAGGGGACACTGAGGCAGGAGGAGGGCATTGGACCCAACTGCCAGGGACGGAGCATCRGTTGCCCCAGGGCCACCTGGTCAAAAGCACCCAGCAGGCCAGGAATAGGACAGCAGCTTCCCAGCCCCTCTGGAGCTAAACTTGGATGCAGGCAGCCAGCAGCACAGCCGGCCATATTACACGGATCTGGGACTTGGCCTGGGCCCAGCGCTGCGGCCTCCGGAGCCTTGGGCAGCTGGACACCGGGATTATGGGCAGTGAGGTGCCTGCAGGGGCTCCCGTGGCAGAGYCACGCGGATCTGAGGTGCCACAGGGTGACAGATCCCTGTCCCAGGGAAGTGTGGGGTCACCCTTTAAGGACTGAGCCTAATTCCTGCMCAATACCTTGAGTTTTTTGCCTTTGTAAGGATTCTTCACGTGCTCTTCAGCGTCCATGATGAGCTCTGTGAGGGTCCGGAATTTCCTCACCTGTGCAGGAATGAAGAGACAAAGACGTGAACGGGGATGGGGCAGAACCCTGGCACAGCAGAAACCCACTGGGTTTTGTAATGCCACCCCAAAAATGACCAATCCCAGCCCCTCTGAGGGAGTCACAATGCTGACAGCAGCAGGATGATGGCCAAGGGCTCTGGGCACACAATTTGGGCAATTCCAACAGCCACGAATGTCAGCGGGGCACCCTATCCCTGTCAAGAAATCCCCATGAAGCCCCACAYGGTGTGCCTTACCTCATTAGAAATCTCCATCCACTTCATCTTGCACATCTCCCCCGAGAAATCTTTGAAAGCCACTTTTTCCCAATCTAGGTGGGACTCGGTGGTTTTGAACTTGCTCCCGTCGTTGGAGGGCAGGTTATTCTTCATGCACTCCAGGAGGGTCAGCATGTCCTCCTGCGACCAGCGGTCTGAGCAGTGAGAAACAGGATCAGCCAGGGGTCAAGCAGCCCTTTTCCTTTTCCTTTTCCTCTTCCTTTTCCTTTTCCTTTTCCCTTTTCCTTTCCCTTCCTAGCAGGATATCGGGACTACAGCTCCCGGCGTGCCGCTCCGGACCGCACGCCAGGACACGTAATCTCCACATGCTGCCTCTCGAGATTAAAGATCAAAGGGGACGTGCCTGTTTCCATCACCCTCGAGCAACTTTCTATGGGCCAAAACAATTCGGGCAAAGCTAGAAATTCCACTCGGTGCAAAGCAGAGAGACTCGCTCTTCCCAGAGAACCATCAGATAAGGGATGGCGTTGCTGCACGGGAGCAGAGGGCTATTTCCTGTGCCCAGGGAACGACGTGGGAGCAGCGAGCTCTCCAGCCAAGCAGGAAACAGGGAAATCCACTTTCTTAGTGGAAAAGATGTGTCTGGAGCAACGGGAAAACCCCAGCGCTGCTTTTCCTGCACCTCAGAGAGCTTTGCCATCACCTGGGCCCAGCTCCACAGTGACCTCTGCCAAGGTCAAAGCTCCCAGACCACAAAGTAAGGAGGAGCAGAGCCTGGCACAGCCCCCTCGTCTCACAGAGATGTCCCTGACAGTGCAGAAATGATGTTTATACCACCACAACATCCCCCAAGCTGCGGGGAGGAGCATCCCCAGCTTCCCTAGGGACAAGCTACTGCAATGGTGGGACGGRCACGTGGCAAAGCCAGAGAGCCTGGAGCAACTGTGAGGCCAGGACAGGCAGCAGCACCGTGCTGGGACAGGCAGCAGGCAGGATATCCCAGCCCTGAATGCCTCAACCAGCCCCAACCTTGGGGCTGCTTCCTTGCCAGGGGAATTCCTCCCTGCTCCCAGCTTCCATGCCAGCTGGGCAGCGCAGCCCGGGGTGCTCTGCAAACATGGGTGGCCCTGGGGAATGCGGCGGGGCTTGGGAGCGGAAGGAAAAATCCCTGGGGATGGGCTGGAGGAGGAGCAGAGCCCAGAGCCACCCGCCCACGCAGCCCTGGCTGCCTCATGGCGGGATGGGCACCTGGGATTMCCACACCGTGGCATTCCCTGCCTCACATCTCTGCCAGGTGAAGGCTGAGGTGTTKGGTGCTGCCTATGGGACATGGAGCACCCTGGAGATGGGGACAGTGGGGACACAGCATCCTGAAGAGGTGGGGACAGTGTGGATGGTCATGGATTGGAGTGGAGCATCTCCTTCCATCTCCAGGAATGAAACTGAGCTTCCTCACAGAATATCCAGCTGCAGAGATTTCTCCAGCTGCAGCTCTCCCTCCACTCAAGACTCAAGATGAGGAAAAACACCTCCACCTCCTACTCACACAGAGTCTGGGGAAGGGCAACTCCCCCACAACCCCAAATCCAAGCAAAAGGTGTTAAAGGACAAAAGGGACACAGTGCAGGGAGCACAGCCAGGATCTAAACCCCTCATCCTATTTCCCTCCTGGACCTGCCTTGTTGCGGGGTCAAGGCAGGAACAATTTAGGATCCAGCTGGTCCCTACAGTGACCTCATCACGAATTAATATGGAGGGAGAAGATGGAAAAGAGCCCCCCGGGAAATAAGGGAGCCTGGTGGCTTAGGGTGTGTCTCCACGTTCCTGGCTTCAACCCAAAACATCATGAAAAGGGAAAAGAGAYGGGAAACCCCCATCCCCTACAGGGCTTGGGGGAGATCAGAGCTGTGGGAGGGAGTGCACAGCCCCAAATTCTGTCTTCCTGTTTTTCCCATCCATTTTTCAGGCCTCCCAGGCAAGGACCAATGAGGCAGAACAAGGCTGGGAAGCTGGTGCCAACTTTAATTGCAGAAATCAGGAGGAATTACCAAAAGCAGCATAGCCACAAAAATCCAGAGGGGACAGAGAAGACAACGAGACCCCTCCCCAAACATGCCCCCATCAAGCCCAGTGCCTCAGTTTCCCCCCTGGAATGCAGAAACACACAGAAACCTTTGGCCCTGTGCGAACCCCCCGCTGGCAGACAGCTGGAACAACCACATCCCAAAGGAATACATACAAAAACAGTGGAAACATCCCAAAATCCTCACCGGCAGCGGAGTGGGGACAATGGGGACCCCCACACTCAGCCCTCCATCCCTCTGTTTTGCCTCCCTCAATCTGGGGCTTGCTCAAAAAYGCAGGAATTGCAGCGTTCACCCACCAGGATGAATGGGGTTGTCTGTGCCCTGGGACCGATTTATCCTGGCTCTCCTGGCACCGGCCGGGCCGGGTCTATATTAGGAAAGCTGCCCCGGTGTAATTAAATCCATCTAAAGTCTGGGAGAAGGACACGTGCTCCGGCCGGGTTCGCTCGAGGCAACAACCCCGACTGCAGCAAGCAAGGAGGAAAAWCSGGGRAACCTGGYAGGTGTGAGGGGCTGGACAGCCTTYCCAGGTTTTGAGGAACCYAGAGGRTTTTTGAGGGGTGGAGCGGCAGAGCTGCCCTAAATAAACACCCTTCATTTTYCCCTTGTTTTCCTGCCCCTTTTCCAATAAAAGCTGAAGCTCTGATGTCATGCCGAGGTCTGGAAGCCGGAGGCCCAAGGTAACGGCTCGGCTTTTAATGCAGCCCAGATGTGAGGGGAAAAGGCAGCAGCACCTCTGTGCCAGCCCCGCTTCCCAATCCCCCTGAAACTCTGCTGAAGAGCATCCCGGTGCCACCACGGGGCTGCTGGTGCACCCAAGCGTGCATCCATGCGCTCGCACACGTATGTGCGTGTTCCCCGCRGCGGATCAGGACCGGGAAAGGCAGATTCCCCCTCCATCCTCCATCCCTCCTCCTCCTCCTCCATCCCTCTGGGAAAAGGGGCGCCCTGAGGTTTTTCATTATTATTATTTTTAAGCGTGGCAGCAGTGTTCCYGTGGGAGTGCGGAGGGGCTCACCTTGGTTTTTGGGAGCTGTCATTTCCAGGTCTGCAGGGCACTCGGCTTCGCCGTTCATCCTCCACCTGCCTGTGCCCAGGACGGTCCCACAGGCTCCCTCCTCACCCTCTTYCCAAAATCACACCCGCACGGCTCTGCAAGGAAAAGGGAGAACCCTGCTAGGCACCCCCAMTGTGATGGGGGAGCCCCCAGCTCCTAATGGGGGGAACCTGATCCAGGCATCCATCCATCCATCCTCTCCATTCCCAGGYGAATGAGGTGCTGGAATCGCCCCAYCACCCATACCTGCGAGGTTTGGGGAGAGCAGGATCCCAAAGATCCAGGAGGGGGAATCCTCAACGGTGACGTGACCCCCATATGGGTGAGGGGAGGAGAAAAGGGATGAATGGGCAGGGAAAAAGGGTCCAGGGAGGTGTCCCCGAAGTGGGGGAGTAGGATCCGAGAGGGATCCTAAAAAATCCCAGAAGAGACAGGTTCAAGGTGGCACCCTGGGGTGGGATTCAAACACTTGGGATCAAGAGGATCTGAGTTAACAGGGCTCTAAGGGATCTCCTGAGGGGGTTCACCTCCYGCAAAAATGGGAGTTTCAAAAGAAGGCAGACCACAGATGCAGCAAAACTCTCCCCAGAAATGGGGACATGACCGAAGAAGAGAGGGGTCCCCCAGATCCAAGGGTGTGGGAATCAAAGGAGTGTGGCAGAGGGGAGCATTTGGGGACCTCGGGGGGATTCARGGGCCTCCCAAGGGGGGAGATGCTGGAGGGAGGTATTTCAACAGGGAGGGCTCCAGGGGAAAGATCCCCTCYGATCCCATCAGGAAAGATCCATAGCTCCATAAGGAAGGATAACCTAGGGAGGGGAACCCCTAAACTTGGCGGAGGGGATGGTGACAGGATGGTAGCCTGGGTGGATCCCCGTTGGGGAGGATTCCATGGGGACAGTCCCTGAAGGGCAGAGCAGGGCCGCAGGCCTCAGGGGGATCCCCGTGAGGGACAGGCCGCAGGCCTGAGGGGGCGAGCTGGGCCTGGGGGATCCCAGGGGGAACCCAGCCTTGGGGAGGGGGTGTCCCTCGGGGAAAAGGGGTCTAGAGGCTCCTGGGAGGAACCAGGCCCTGGCTCTGAGGGAGSATCACCTGGGGAAGGCAGCAGGGACAGCCCGGGGGTGCAGAACCCCCAGGCCCCAGGAAGGATCCGGGATGGCCCTGGGGCGGAATCAGCTCCCGGGAGAGGGAATSCGGCATCACCCCGGGGCTGCAGGCCCTGCCAGGCCTGGAGGGGACAGGGGATCTCCGCGGGGGCCGGATCAGCCCCAGGTAGGGACGGATCTGGGGCTACCTGAGCGAGATCGGGTCTGGGGTGGCTGGGGCATCATCACCTGGGGATGGATGTGGGCAGGGGGTGCAGACACCCCCGGCCTCCGGGGATCAGCGGGTGGTGAATGTGGGATCAGCCGGGGGAGGATGAAGGGCTCGCAGACCCCGCCAGCGTGAGACCGAGGATCACCCGGGGCTGGACGAACCCTGAAGGGATGGGGGCAATCGCTCCACGCTTGGATCAACCCCCAAGGGGGGCGGACCTAGGACCACCCCCGGCCGGGGCCGGCTGAAGGGATCGCCGCGGGGTGTGGGATCAAGCCCAGCCCCCGGGGCGGTGTGAAACCGGGGATCGCCCGGGGGTGGGAGCGATGGTAGAGGGGAGGGGGGGGATCGTGCGGGGGTGTCGCGAAAGGCGGGATCG